CACCCCCCCCCCCCCCCCCTTGTTTTTTTTTTTCTACCCGCAGCAATCAAAATATATCGTGTTCTTATATATCTTGACCGACAAAAATTTATGGTGTTATAGAATTTGAAACTTCCCAATGATTTTGCGATTTATTTTTGGACATTGTAAAAAATATGTCTGATACAATCGTTACTTTTGTAAAAAAAAAAAAATGGTTTATAGACTACATAATACATTGTATGATGTAAGAAATAATTATTTTTATTAAACCAAAGAGATGGACAAAATCAGTAACAGTAATCTAAATAATTATTTTTATTAAACCAAAGAGATCAACCAAATCAGTAATTTAATATTTAAATTTTCTCATTATATTTACAGAATTATAAAAATGGTTCATATATAGATTATAAATGAACAAAGGAATAATCCAGAATTAAGTCAAAGCAAATCATGGCCCATGAGTGTTAATGAAACTGATGGATGGCATATCAAATTACAACATGCATGTTTACAAAAAAAAATTACAACATGCAAGACGAAACGAGGAATAAATGTTTCAACGTTAATCACTAAATTTATGGCAGAATATGATAGCTCAACACAGAGTCACTCTCCCGGATACTCGCGTGGAACACACGCGAATCCTCCTCCGCAAGGCTACCAAAGATATCTCGGAGATTACCCTCATAAACAGCATTTAATTACGCTTCTGCCACAAGGCAAATGGAACACAGAAACCCACCGCCTTCAAATCCCAAAACCGCCCCTTGTAATTTTAATAGACGCCATTTTCTCCACCTCCTATATAAAGTCCCCCCCATTTCCACTCTCTAAGCATCCGAAGCAAATTTCAAAGTATTCCAAACTCGCCCCTTTAAAAAATCATTTTCCCAATTTCCAACCCCATAATTCTCTGCCACCCCAGCGACTGTGAGCTCCAGCATCCATGGATACCAGAATCGGATCGATCGACACGTGCAAGCCGGCGTGTGGTGACGTCATCTGCCCACAGAACGGCGCCGTTTCCACCATCCAGAGCTCCTTCCCCGCCTCCGACGCCGCCTCCGACGCGACACTCGGTCGCCACGTGGCGCGACGGTTGGTCCAGGTCGGCGTCACCGATGTCTTCTCCGTCCCCGGAGACTTCAACCTCACGCTGCTCGACCACTTGATCGCGGAGCCTGAGCTCAACCTCATCGGTTGCTGCAACGAGCTCAACGCCGGCTACGCCGCTGATGGCTACGCGAGGTCGCGTGGCGTCGGAGCCTGCGTGGTGACCTTCACCGTCGGCGGACTTAGCGTTCTCAACGCGATCGCCGGCGCGTACAGTGAGAATCTACCGGTGATCTGTATCGTTGGAGGCCCCAACTCGAACGATTACGGCACCAACAGGATTCTTCATCACACCATTGGTCTGCCTGATTTCAGCCAAGAGCTCAGATGCTTCCAGACTGTGACTTGCTATCAGGTAAAACTCGAATCGAAATCGAAAACAAAAATTTCTGGTTATCGATCGGCAATGTTACTTACTAGACAAAAAACCTCCGTTTGAATTTTGCAGGCGGTGGTGACGAACTTGGAGGACGCACACGAACAGATCGACACGGCGATATCGACGGCACTGAAAGAGAGCAAGCCTGTCTACATCAGCATCGGCTGTAACTTGGCCGCCATTCCTCACCCCACTTTCAGCCGCGATCCCGTCCCCTTCTCCCTCGCCCCCAAGTAAACATTTCTTTCTTTTTTTTTTTTTTTGGTAAATAAACATTTCTTTCTTAAACCCTTTTGTTCATTAGATCCCCAAAAAACACCACATGTTTAGGATTCTTACCGTTCAATGTTTCGTCCAGATTGAGTAACAAGATGGGTCTCGAGGCTGCGGTGGATGCAACCCTTGGGTTCCTGAACAAAGCGGTGAAACCCGTCATGGTCGGTGGCCCCAAGCTGCGTGTGGCTAAGGCCACCGACGCCTTCGTCGAGCTCGCCGACGCATCGGGTTATGCTATGGCCGTGATGCCCTCCGCGAAGGGACTTGTCCCGGAGCACCACCCTCACTTCATTGGGACCTACTGGGGAGCGGTCAGCACGCCGTTCTGCTCCGAGATCGTAGAATCTGCGGACGCATACATATTCGCTGGCCCGATCTTCAACGACTACAGTTCGGTCGGATACTCTCTCCTCCTCAAAAAGGAGAAGGCGATTATCGTACAGCCAGACCGTGTCACGGTAGCAAACGGGCCCACGTTTGGGTGCGTCCTGATGAGCGATTTCCTGAGGGAGCTGGGCAAGCGGCTGAAGAGGAACGCGACAGCGCATGAGAATTACAGTAGGATATTTGTGCCTGAAGGGAAGCCATTGAAGAGCCAGCCGCAAGAGCCTTTGAGAGTTAACACGATGTTCCAACACATTCAGAAGATGTTGTCCAGTGAGACCGCTGTGATAGCTGAGACAGGAGATTCTTGGTTCAATTGCCAGAAGCTGAAACTACCCAAGGGATGCGGGTGGGTACAATACATAGATAATTCAGACCACATCTTTCATAGTTTCACATTACATAATAACAACACATGTGAAGTCCATGTTGAATGAATGAATGAATCATTGAGGGCATTTTTGCAGGTACGAGTTCCAGATGCAATACGGGTCGATCGGATGGTCTGTGGGTGCAACTCTCGGATATGCTCAGGCTTCACCGGAGAAGAGAGTTCTTGCTTTCATAGGAGATGGGAGTTTCCAGGTGACGGCTCAGGACATATCGACGATGATCCGAAACGGGCAGAAGAGCATCATTTTCCTTATAAACAACGGTGGCTACACCATCGAAGTCGAGATTCACGACGGCCCTTACAACGTAATCAAGAACTGGAACTACACTGGTCTCGTGGACGCCATCCACAACGGCCAAGGCAAATGCTGGACCACCAAGGTGAGTGGATTTTGAAACCCATTAATCTGATTTTAAAAACAAGAGAGAGAGAGATGTAGAATAAATAAAATATTGAATCGATTCGTGTGAATGAAATTGAGCAGGTAAGATGCGAAGAAGAGCTGGAAGAGGCGATAGAGACAGCGACAGGGGCAAAGAAGGATTGCTTGTGTTTCATAGAAGTGATAGTTCACAAGGACGACACAAGCAAAGAGCTGCTCGAGTGGGGCTCTCGTGTCTCCGCCGCCAACAGCCGCCCCCCTAATCCTCAGTAGAACCGCCATTCCTGCCCTTCCCATTATCAAATAACAGAGAAAACAATATCTAAACAGAGTTTCTGCTTCCGTTTTCATCCTTGTTCTTCTCTCGTGCTTTACCTATCTGTCATATTGATGTGAGTTCTGGATTGGCTACCAGATCTTTGTTCTTCTCTTGACCTTTAGCTTTATCTATCATATTGATGTTATCATTTGTTGTGAAATAAATTACATATTTATGTCTCTTGTGACCTCCTCCTCGTTCATATTCGGCATCAACAAAAGCCCGTTTTTCTTTCCAAAGCACCTATACTCCAGAGTCCAGACTAAATAAACAAACCCGAAATCACGATCTACTGCCTTCTTAATCGGTCTCCGAGTCGGGATGGGTCAAAAGACGATTGTTTTGGAGAAAATGGTCGGGGAATGGAGCTCGGCAGCTTCTTATGTGCGATTTCAGCTTCGGAATACTCGGGTGAGCACTTTTACAACGGTGACAACGCAACTCCGCAGTTAAAACATCTTCACTTGCCACAGTGGCCATGCCCTGGACATTGATCTCCTCCATTACATCGACCGAGTCTCGGAAGAATGAGGAGGTGAAGGAGTTCCAATGTTTCTTGTTCTTCAAGTGGTCGGAATCGAAGTCTTGGCTGATAACATGTAGGTGAAGTTGTCGCATTGATGGAACCTGAGACACAAGGGGAATTCTGATAAAGGAGTTTCCTTTCCTGCTTTCATATTCGCTGACGCTGTAAAGGCTCTGAAAAGGACATTACCGAGTGGTAACCCAACCGGAAGACCAGAGAGGGGTCATCATCCCAGAATCTCTTCACCCATTTCGATCCCACGTCGTGCATTTTCTGCAGCAGTTGAAGATGCTCTCTCTGGGCATCGGCAAACCGGTCTAGACCTTCCTGTCTTGCAATTATTAGCAAGTGCTTCCTTGCCTATAAGATCAAAATAATCTTATCTGTAACCCGCTCTCACGAGGAGGGTAGCGAAATAGTACCAATACAGAACAGGCATTATTGAAAAAAAAGGAACTTACTTACCTTTGGATACTGGTCGTTTATCACAACAATGTCATCCAATACCTCTAGCACAATATTCTCGTGTCTATCCGGTTGCATGGCAATATTGTACAGAGCCAATGCCCATGAGCCCCAACCCTTACTCTTGCTCTTTCCACCGTCTCTCACATGCCCAACTGCCCCAGTGTTCGATTCATCGGCTATGACTACATCTTGGAGCCCCTTGCACTTTTTATTTCTCTCAGGATCCTCCTTAATCTCCTCACCACCAGAACCTGATCTAGTAGTCTCATTCCTTCTTTTGGGTAATTTTGATTGATTCTTTATAATAGACAGAAACCCTTCAAAGAGAGATGTGTAAGCCTCTCGCAGAATCTTGCAGCCGTTGGTATAGTCATTGTTAAGGTAATTTGGTCGCTTCGGATTCATGTTTGGTCCCAGAACATGTATCACATGTGTTATCCCTTCCGCACAGACTAAAGGGCAGGTAGAAGGGAGAGCAACAACTACGGCCTTTCCCGGAAGAAGAGAATTCGCTCGTTGTCTCGTTGCAGCCTCAAGATCTGACCCAGCAGCCATGAAAATCGATGCATTTACTCCTCCACCCCCGGGTTTAAGCCGCCTGCACAGATCTTTTTCCTTAGTCAATTGGCCTAAGAATGCAAAAACTTTCAATGAGATGGCTTATCAATATACAAAGTTTTTACTTCAGAAGTCGGTACATTTTTAGGCTATTATCCCCTAGTGAAATTGAGCCTCTTCACCTTTACGAAGAAGAAAACCTCTAATTAGGTACTAAAGAGCAAAGGCCAGATTATTACAGAAGCTTACCAGTTAGCAGCATTAGCTATGGCACTGCACTGCAGACCACCTTCAGAACGAAGTTTAGTTATATCCCCAACAAATGTGAAAAACCTTGCTGAGTCAATGTTCTTCTGAGAAGCCTTTGTCTTGACCAAAGACAAAATCTTTGATCCATGGCTCAGGTCCACCAAGACAACCCGTGCATTTCCGAGCATAGGCAGGAATTCCTCCACTTTCTCAACAATTATATCAGCTGCCTTCTCAAGGTCGAACTGAAAATCTGCCGTTGAGATTGACGGGAATGCCAACGTGGGAATAATATCGGTAGAAGTAAGCTGAGCCGAAGGAATCAGGGACAGATTTTCTTCTTTCTTTGCTGTCTTTTCATTAGATTCTTGAGATGTGCTAGCTTCTTTAGAAGCTGGTCCTGGCAAAGCATTGACTTTCTTAAAGAACTTCATTATACCAAGTTGACTTTTGGCATTTGTGTTCTTTTGGCCGAAGCAGCCCGATGGAAGAGTATCCTTTGGACCGAGCAAGCTGTAAGAGCTAACAGCATTCTCGACATCTTTATCACTGTAACAAAACGTGATCCGAGAAAACCCTTCACTCAATTTTGGAAGCTCCTTACTCTGAAGCATCCTATTTACAACAGCTGCAGCTCTTCCCCCTTGTAGATTTCCTTCATGCCCGGTTCGTTTGACCGATCGAGATATACAAACCTGAGCAGGGAGATCAAGCACCACTGCATGGACTTCGACCTCGGCGCCTCCGAGCTTAACAAACTCCGAGCGCTGATCCCTGTCAAGGTTGCATCTGTCTATAAAGATACTGTTGCTTTCCTTCAGGGCGTTGATTGCCATCTTTAGGCACTGAGCCTTTGTTCCAGCTTTACCATTGTTAATGGTGTCCTGCATGAGACGAGAAATGGAAGCTCACGTTACCAATTACTCATCTGTGTTCACCACTGTATTGGCATGCATCACTGTTCCCTAATTTTCACATGTATTATGCCGCACACCAAAAGGGTTTCTGGAAGAACATAACACATCAAATTAAGAACAGCGACACGAAATCGCATAAGTAGAATCATACTTCACCCAACAAATTCGCAACAACCTCAATCCTGAATCCGAGTGTCGCGGAAACAAAATCAGTTTCAATATATGAATTCTCAAAAGAACCAGAAACAGCAAAACCAAGTTCATTGGATCATTTTATCAACCACTTCCCGCGCACAAGTCGAAGAGAGCGAGAGAGAGGAAACCTGGCAAACGCGAACCCATGGGCGGCGAGAGGAGCGCATGACAGTGTCGCAAAACGTGGATTTCCCGCTTCCCGGTGCACCAACCAGCATTACCACTGTCGGCTCCGTCTTCTCTCCTTCAGCTTCCGCCATTGGGGTCATAAAACAAACAGAAAGTCATACGACAATCGAGAATCGGAGAAAAGTAGTAAAAGTGGAGTTGGATTTACGGGAGTCGTCGATTTCCATGTCCATTTTCTCCTGTCGATTTGAAGAACCCGTTCCTTTGAAATTTTCTGACGCTTGCGGTGGAAGCCCGTAATGTGTGTCGTGTAGTACGTGTTCGTTTCGAGTACGAGGCGTTTCCACCCAAGCAAAACGACTTACGGTGTCTCAGTTCAACGTAAAAACGCTCTGTAGTTCATGGACATGCGGCTTTTCTTTTTCTTTTTAATTAGATTAAAATTCGCTTTTATTTTTTTATCTTGAAAAAATCTATCGAATATATTTTTTTAAAGAGATTAATGGTTTTACTGCAATCTAAAACGTTATATTTTATATTTTTTAGTTTTAGGTCTAGACTTATTAATACATATATTCTCTAAAAATTAGTTAATTTTTATATTAGTTCACTGTCATTGATATTATCATTCAATATAGTTTGAATAGATACAAATGAAAATCTTAATATGTCTACACAATTTATTTCGTAATTACAATAAATTTTAAACTTGGATATAACAAAAATCCATTCGAAAATAATTCGAGTATAATATAATTAACATGCTATATAGATATGCGGGGTTTCACTTTAATCTAGTGTCTAAATCAAACGTAATTGTTTTAAAAAAATCAAATCTTAGATCACCAGCCCATATATTTTGTGGTGTCAAATAGTCATATAATCGTAGAATTTTATATGAAAAAATTCCCGAAATTATCGCATATAAGCATTTAAAAATATTATCATTGGACCTGGTTGTCAGTTTCTTTGTAAGGTTAGTTTACATTGGCTCTAGCTTCTCGTATCTTTTCAACGCGTATGCATATTTAATTGAAAATAACAAAATCAAGCTTGCTGGTCCGTGATATTACATCCTCCAAAATGCAATTTCCACTTAAGTTAGTTACTATACTTACACAACCAGGACCAATATTATATATTAGTATATATGTTTGGAATTAAATTATCACACAATAATAATAATAATAATAATAATAATAATAATAAAAGTTTCTAGGGGTTCCTGAACACGCCATGTAGACTAATATATATCAGCACACACATGATATATAAATCAGTGTATGCATTTCTCCCATTGAGACAAACCGCGTCCATGCATGGTTTCTTAGACAACAGGGCTAAACCAGGAGTTGTACTCCGGTGGCAAAGTCTGTAAATACGTCTCCGACATGGGGGCATAATTGTAGGCATCCGATGCAGAAGAAACAGAACCGGTCGAGGTCGTCGTACACGGGCCATTATCGACGCCGGTAACGTCGCCGGCGGCGGAGCAGAACGGCGTCGCATGGTCAAAGAAGAGCATCAAGTTTTGGTGAAGCCAAATCTGGGCCTTGAGGAACTTAACGTACTCAATGGCTTCATCGAGCAAGGAGACAGTATCCATCTTCGAGCCACCAGGAACCATACTCTGAAGGATCTTGAACCTGTCGCTGATACGGTGGCGTCTTTCACGCGCCGCCACGCTCTGTGGGTCCGTTGATAGCTTCGTGGCCGGCGGTGAATCTCTCTTTGTATCTCCGGTTTTGCCCTTTTTATTCCTACGCCGGTGGAGAGAAGAGGACGAGGAGCTGGTGCATGAGTTAGGGTTTCGGTTGCTGATGGGTGAAAAATGGATATCCATTGTTTTTTTGGTCATGGGCTCACGTTGACGTATAGCATGTTTACGTGTGTGTATGTATATATATATATAGAGATGGTACAAATAATATATTATATGTGGAGCTTAATTGTATACGACGAGGGGAAGAGAGAGGGCACGTGAGGTTCCGGGTTTCGCGACGAAGTGGGGTTTGGTATGAAAGAACAGAAGCAGATAAAAACACTCAATGATTTCTTACCAAACATCCTTTTCAACTGAACTCTACTGTCTGCTCGATCTACATTCCACTTCCACACGCACACACTTCTCTCCTCCACGTTTCATCTTTCAATATTTTCCCTCTTCCTTCTTTATTTATTTTTAGTTTAAAATCTTCTTATTGCCAGTTTGGATTCGAATTGCAATACGATACATTTGTGTCAATGTAGTAGTAATTTGATATAGACTATGTGGATTTACCCAAAGCTTAAATTGATACAAACAGTTTAAAACCATGTCACAGTTAAGCAGCAAATATATCCATTTATATTCATTTAATTTACATGTGTGTGTGTATATATATTATTTTTTTTAAAAAAAAATATACAATCTTGAGACAGGTAACTGTCGTCTCAGCTGTTGAGTGAATGAGACGTTACGCTACGTAGGATAAGATTCGGCATTTGATTTTTCTTTCCTACGTGGTTCGGTTCTGATCTGAATGAAACTCTGTTTTTTTTTTTCATAGGACAAATTGTAAAAATTAAAGACATATCCGGAGAAAATTAAAATAATTTCAATATGGCTTGTCAATTCGACCTCATATGTGTATACTAGTTAGTTCCCAAAAGACGGGTTAATCTAGTTAAAACAGATTTACTTTCTATTGGAATATATATTTTTTTTTTAAATGTATAAAAAGATTTCTGTTGAAGAGGTATTTATAGTCTAATATTTCCATAAAAGGGGTTGCTGTTTCATTGGCAGAATTTCAGTCCGAAATAAGCATTAAATTTTAACAAATAATGTTATTACTACGTAGTATGAAATAAATTCGAAAATTACATAGGCTGTTGGTGGTGGTGATACCTTATGTTTCCAAAGTGGAGCAGATACACAATAAATAAATCGAACAAAACTGGGACGACATTGGTTTCGAGGTTGTCCTTCCTATTAAATTCGAAGGCGAAGGTTGGGTTTTTATGGATAGCTGTGGACCGACCCCGACAGTCTTATGGTACGTTCACAGGGCACATCACGTCTGTACAGTGAAACTAGCCGACGTAGATGTTAATATACGTATGTACACGAAATAAATAATTGGGATTGAGTATAGTTTTTGTTGGTGAACCGTGGAAATTCGCTTTCGAATTCAAATTACATAAAAAAAAACAGTTCAATAAATAAGCGTAATTAATGAAATCGAGTTAAATATGTAATTTTTTTTCATAGACAGATAAATTCAGTAGCGGAATAGCTCAAATTATTAAAATTTAACAGCCAAAATAAGCTCAAACTATTAAAATTCGGAAATCAATATATACGTGGGCCGAAAGATGAATTTTAAAGCCCATATATGAAATCTCTCCAGCACCATCCGGAAGATGCCACGTGGCCGCCAAGGTGTCGCCGGACCCTTCGATTCGACACCACGAAGCTAAATATCCGCCACGTGTCAACCATAGAACTCTTACGTGGAAACTCCTACATGTATTTATACAGAGACAAACAGACACACGGAACACGACAATATATACGAAAAGAGAATATATATATAGACAGAAGGATGGCGAGTGAAGAGTTCCGATTGGTATCGCCGGCGATAAGCAACGAAGGGAAGTTGCCGAGGAAGTACACACAGGAGGGTCAAGGCGCTCAGAGGGACATCTCTCCGCCCTTGGAATGGTATATATGGTCAATTATAGGTTTAATTATATGTGTATATGAATGTAAAGGAGATGAGGTGAGTGAATGTATGTATAGGTATAACGTACCGGAGGGGACGAAATCGCTGGCACTAGTGGTGGAGGACATAGATGCGCCGGACCCGAGCGGACCGATAATGCCGTGGACGGCGTGGGTGGTCGTAGACATACCTCCGACGGTGAAGGGATTGCCGGAGGGATTTTCCGGCAAGGAAGAGCATACGGTCGGAATCAGGGAAGGTCACAACGACTACAAGATCCCCGGATGGCGTTGTCCGAAACTTCCCCGTCACGGCCACAGATTCCAGTTCAAGCTTTTTGCCCTCGACGACAAGCCTGATCTCGGCCATACGGTATGTCATTTCATTAATTATAAACATATAGAGAGAGGTTAACACGTGTGTGTTTTCAGGTGACAAAGGAGAGACTGATGGAAGCGATTGAAGGGCACGTGCTTGGAGAATCCATCTTGACTGCTGTTTTCTGATAACGTGCATAGTCGTGTTTGGATGTGATCGATCTTTGTATTTTTACCATGTAAAGTTGGATCCCGACCGATAGATATATAACTAATTAACTATGTGTTCCTTGTCTTTTTTTTTAAAAAATTTTTATCTCTGTTTAAAAATAAGGAGATTTGAATATTATTATTTGTGAAAAACGAAATATATTCTAGGAATTATTGAGCCCATAAAGCCCATATTGAGCAAGATAGGCCCATATATACACAAGGCATGAGGTGATCAATAATTAATTCCTAGGCTTAAGGTATCCGATACTCGTTAATGAATGGAGCGGAAATTTATTCGCCACATGTCACGCGAGGAGGCGTATACGGTTAATTATTAATCATTAATTAAAAAATAGGGGGGGGGGTTCTATTCAACGCACCGCACGGCTCTTTGTATTTGTTGATATGTATAAATACATGTAAAAAAATTTAAAAATCTGCTTTTTGTCCAGCTTCATTGATGAATTAGTTTGTTACGCTTCGACTTTCCGCTTCCTCCCTGTCTGCATTTTCCTCCTCTCCCTGGGGATTTTCCCTCTCGGCCTTTTGTTTTTCTTGCTCTCTCTTCCGTTTTCCCTGGATTTTCTTGTCCTTCCCTCTCTTCTTTTTCTTGTTGCTCTTTATATTCCGAACTGCCGGAGTTTTCTGATACTCTCCCTCGACGCCATTTTGGGGTTGGTCGGAATTTTCTGGCCTTTCCCGCCTTCTGATCGATCTCCTCTTGTTTTCCCTCTGTTCCGTTTTCTTCTGGCGTTTAATGCGGTGATTCACGAAGAATCGGGTTATTTCCTGGTAATTTCATGACATCGTGTCTGTTTTCGCAATTCGACGATGGTCGAATTCTTCTCGTCGATCGATGATTGGTTTTCTCGCTGATTGAACAATATTCTCTGTTTTCTTTTCGTTTATCTTCTATTTCGTTTTCTGATACTATTTTCCTTGTACGTGTTCTTCTCTCGACGCGCTTGCGGTTTTTTCCTGTAATGTTACTTGGGTGTTTCTCTCACTTTTTCTTTTCTGGTTATTCTCTTCTGTTCTTTCTCAGATCTGCTAATATCGTAAGCGGCGTCTTGAATTGAGAAGGATCTGAGGGTAGTTTACCTTTCCAGGTATTAGAGTTACCAGCTGAAGAATCTGGAGGTGGTGGATTTTGTTCAAAATGGGAAGATTGTTCCTGGTAAATCTCGAAGGATCGATCTACAGCTGCAAGCATTGTCGTACGCATTTCGCAGTTGCTGATGATATCATCTCCAAGGTTAGCCGTAATCCCCCCCCCTTTCTGGTTTTCCATGCGTTCAAGGGAGTAATTAGTCGCATTAGTTGTAATAATCCCTTTGTTTTGAGAGATGATTTTTCATCCATAGTCTCGTCTTCATACATTTTCAGATCTTCATTCACATGTAGTATTGTTGGGGATTCTGAATAATTTCTAGTCATTCTCTGTGCTGAGTGATGATCTCCGTTTATAGTTTTGTTCATGTCGTCCAATTTGTACTCGAGGGTTATGGGAGGATGTTGCAGATGACCTGACCTTTGTTCGCGCGCTGTGTTTCAGTCGTTCCATTGCCGGCATGGAAAGGCATATCTCTTTGACAGAGTGTAAGCGTTCTTAGAGCCAGTTTTTGAGCTGATCGCTAAAGTCCTCTGAGTAAGTAGCCCTTTACTATTCATGTTCTGTGTGGCAGCGTGAATGTCACTGTTGGAGAGGAGGAAGATCGCGTCATGATGACCGGATGGCACACCGTGGTCGACATATTCTGCGTGGGGTGTGGCAATCTCGTTGGCTGGAAATACGTAAAAGACTCGAACCGAATCTCATAAACAATGCCATTCTCCATCTGGGTTTCATCCGTTTTATCATAAAAAGCTGACCTTTGGCAGGAAGCTGCATACGAGAAGTCCCAGAAGTACAAGGAAGGAAAGTTCATTCTGGAGAGGTAACAGTTTTGATGAGATATGTTCTCTACGTTCATCAACTATAGCCTGGATTCTGAAGAATGAAATCGTGCTAGAGCAGGTTTATGGTGCTTGGACCTGATGGGGGCGGGTACCATATGAATGTGGAGGAGCAGATTCTCGGAAGCGATGAAGAATGAATGATCTGATCTTGCCATGTATTGTGGTATAGTACATTCTCTCCCCTTCAATACATAGATTAGTTTTTTTTTGTTTGGTCCAGGGGGTGTTCAGTTGATACATAGGCACACACTCACTCATTAAAATCCCAATTGGATTTTTCATCAAAGTATCTCATCTGTTTTTGGCGTCAAGTCTTTTTGCCGGTGAACTTTTGTTTCGCCGTTCTCGTGTTCCGTACATATTTGAGGCGTTCTATGCAGTTATTACATATTTGTGTCCATATTTAGGCCCATAAAATTTAGATGGGTGGGTTCCGTTTTTGTGATGAGCCCAGCCCATCAATTTCCTTTCATATAATCTGACCTTTTGAACACTCTTTGCGGATACTTTGGTTATTTTTATGGGTGTATAAGTAAATATATGGGACAGTAAGATTTTCTTAAACAAAAACTAATAATGTTGCATATATATGTGTGTGTGTGTGTATATATATTTGAAAAGATATCGTTGGATAGATCAGATGTGTGTAAAGGCATGGGAATTGGGACATACGAATACTTGTGGTTCAATAACAGCAGCGTTAATATAAGCATCATGTATTCAATGATTTTTTTGAAAGAAAAAGTTTGGCTTGTCTGACACCGACCCCGCTAGAAAGAACATTCTGGAGAGGTTAATCTAACTTTAGACTGACAGCAGTTCACGTGCCCCATGTGACCAACTCCCCTTTGGATAGAATCGTAATTATATCCATGTGTTTAGTAGGGTAATTCTGTCTGGCAACCCCTCTAACTTGATTGGGAAATTATTGTAAAGAGACAGCAATTAATTAGTTGTGTATACCACACGTAATCAGATTCTGCTAGATTGGTTTATGTTAATACATAAACTGCATTGGTAATTTTATTACATCTTAGATATTGTGCATTTTACAATTATGTTTGTTTTTATTTCTACAAGAACAGACAGTTCTTTGTTCAGATTTGTTTCTCTTCCCCCGTTTGGATTTGAAAAGGGTAAAAGAAAGGAGATGTGATTCTGCAATCGGATACCTATCACCTTATAAGCAAAAATATTTAAGTATCATAATGGTGCATTTAATAGACTGATTAGTTAACAAACCTTTTCAATTGTATACTAATTGGGGTTACAATAATCTATGGACCACGGGTGATCATTATAATATTATCATTTATTCCCTCTGTTTCTGAATATAAGTAGTTTCACCGTATTTTTTTTTGTTACTAAATAGATAGCGTTTTAGATTTTTAGATTAATTTTTAAAGAAAATTTCTATTTTTACTCAATTAAAAATATTCAACTTTATATGATTTTTTTTTTATATTCCTTTAAAAATCATTATAAAATCTAAAACTGATATTCATTTACAAAATGAGAACGACACAAAGGACGAGCGAGTCTAAGCTGAATTTATAGCCGCACGATGAGAGGCTCTGTATTTTCCTTATCTTGAATCGAACGGTCGATGCACTGTTAAGCTGCCGAATGCGTATGTTTTCTTCTACCCTAATCAATCTTATCTTTGATTTTTTTTTTTTTTTTTTTTTTTGTGTACGTGTGTAGTAATCATGTGAGGCGAGAATCTCTCTCGTTCCATACGAATAATACACATTTCTCTTGTTTTAATATTCTTTTTTTTTAATCGAAATATCTCATCATGATTATTTTTAGTTTGCGTTAATTCCTTCTGATTCGTGTTAATTCAAAGTCTTTGAAAGTGGGCTTCTGAGTTATACGGCAGCGTATTGACCAGGACGACCTCAGCTTCGTGTTCTGTTCAAACTTTCAAACGACATGTTCTTAATTAATTTTATTTTTAAAAAATAAAAAATAAAAAGCCTGAATACTTACAAGGGAGAAGGTGGGGTTGTTTGGTTTGAAATCCGAAATCAAACAATAAAAAATTTGTGAAAAAACCACATCGAGAAGAACATCTTCCCCACTCCCTTCTTCAAGCTTTCAAAACTTCGTATTTTATCAAATACCCAGAACCCTTCTGTTCTCTCTCTCTGCGCCTAGTCTATCCATCTTCGCTGTTCGTCGTCTGTTCTCTCGTGGCTTCTGGGATTCCTTGGCCACTGCTCTAGCTCCAGAAGAACCGTCTGCTTTGATCCTTAACCAGATCTGATCGGTCTTTCAGTTTGCTTCAGCGATTTTCTTTCCGTCTTTTCTTTTTTTTTTTTTGGAGATTTTGTCGCGCTGCGGTGCAAGTTCGGTCATCCGTCCCAGAATCTTCGGTTTGAGGTTTCAAAAATGGTGACACAAGATAGAGACGAAGAACTCGCTCTGTTCCTGGAGATGCGTCGACGCGACAAAGAACACGGAGCTTCTCTTTTAACAGGTTCCCACCGTAAAATTTCTTAAATGTTTCATACGCAGTGGTTTGATAATTCATGTTTCAGGTTCTGGGCTTCGGATTGATTTGGGTTGAGTTTGAATTATGTTTGACCCTGTTGTCCGATTATTCTACGCAGGATCTGACAGCAGTAGTAACAACGAAGCAGTCTCGTCTCTCCGGTATCCCCTCCGGAGAACCGCCGCCGAGAACTTCTTGTACTCCGAGAACGAGAAGTCCGATTACGAATGGTAATGTTTCCTTCTCACTCGTTATTATGCTCTCAGAACATTGCCTTGTTTCCCCATCATTATTTACTTCGCATCCATTTTATTTTCGCATTTGTGTTTTCGCTTTTGGATGCAACGCAGAGAAAATCATGACGAAAATATAAAAATCCCAGAATTTGTATGGACAAAGTAAAAGGAACAACATATGGTTATATTGGTATTGAACGTTCAACCAAGAGCTTGTGTTCATTAGATCACCTGTTGTGAATTTTGCCCCCGTAGATGTGTAGTAATAGCACTCCTTGGTGGTTCTGTAACTCAACTTGTTTGCTAAGTTTTGATTTGTCTCCGAAATATTTGGGATTATGCTGTTGTCTCTTCTTGGGTTCTTGGGTTGTTCTGGTTCTGGTCCGATGAGATACAACGTTTCGTGATATTGTCGTTTTTCCCTTTCAGGCTGCTGACGCCTCCTGGCACACCGCAGTACGAGAAAGAGTCTCACAGAAGTGCGATGAACCAGTTTGACGGCCCCAATGCTCGGCCCACCGTTCTGAAATCCCGGGTATGAACTTATATGTTGTAAGATTTTACTGATCTAGCTGTGAAGATGATGCATTCGAAAACATAATCAATCTCAAAGAAATCAAACGTCCATTAGTGTTTTGAGCAGAAACAGTTTAGCACAACCAATCTTACTTTGTTGCATAAGTTGGGATTGCCTTGTCTTCTTAGTTGCTATTTCGCCTTGAACGTAACCTGCGTTTTTTGATGGTGATGCAGCTGGGGAACTGCCGGGAAGAGCCCGTCTCAAGGGCCAGCGGTGTATCATCGAAACATTCAATGCTGTCTCCGGGACCGAACTCTTCCGAGGTTGCTGGAACAAGAAGACCCTCGTCTTCTGGTGGCTTAAAATCCGCCAGTAGGCCATCCTCCTCTGGTGGCTTGAAGTCCACGAGTAGACCCTCCACACCAACCAGGAGATCAACCACCACAACAGCAACTGTCACATCCAAAACCACCAAGGCCTCAAGCTCAAGATCTTCAACCCCGACATCACGAGCTGCCTTAACTGCTTCAAGACCCGCTGGTCCATCCAGATCAGCCACCCCGACTAGATCTATTATGCCCCGTTCATCCTCCACTCAATCCTTACCAGCTGCAAAACCAGTTTCAAGGTCAGCCACTCCGACCCGCAGACCGTCAACCCCGTCAGGCCCTTCATCAGCTGCCGCTACTAAAGTCACTAATTCAGCAAACAGACCGGCTCAGTCACGAGGGGCTTCACCGACGGTGAGGTCAAGGCCGTGGAAGCCACCAGAGATGCCTGGCTTTTCTTTAGAAGCGCCTCCGAATCTAAGGACTACATTACCAGAGAGGCCACTTTCTGCTTCGAGAGGCAGACCAGCAGCCTCGGCACCTAGCTCAAGGTCCAATTCTATCGAGCGAAGTGGTGGTGGCAATGGCCGGGTAAGGAGACAGTCTTGCTCGCCATCCAGAGGCCGGGCTCCTATTGGGAACCCGAATGGGAGTATTGCAGTTGTTCCGACAGTGAGGGGGAGAGCAAAAGGGAGTAGTAGTAGCAGTGGTGACAGTGTGAGTCCGGTGGCTATGGGGTCGAAAATGGTAGAGAGAGTGGTGAATATGAGGAAACTGGCTCCGCCAAGGCAGTCAGATAGAAGCAATGGTAAACCCATATCCTCTCTTGACAGCCTCGGGTACGGGAGAAACCTCTCGAAAAGCTCCCTCGACATGGCCTTGAGACACATGGTATGAGACAAAACGAATCTCTCTGTATATAAGAGGCAGTACCTTAGATATTATATCACATGGGTTATATTATACATCTCTGTGTGCAGGATATTAGACGAAGCTTCAATGGAAATCTCCGGCCTTTGGTGACGAAAGTGCCAGCTTCGTCTATGTATAGTGTGAGGACATCAACGTCAGGTAGAAGCCGGACAACGAGTGTGTCGGACTCGCCCCTCGCCACCACGAGTAGCCCTACGAGCTCGGAACCAAGCGTGAACAACATCAACATCTTGTGCTTAGATGGGAGCGAAGCTGAAAACGACGATCTCTTGAGTGAGAGAGGAAACTCTTCTCCACTGAGTCAACTCGGAAAGATATCGTCTTGACCCGTCATCGTTGGCAGTTCGATCGAACAATGTTCTTTCTTTTCCTTTGTTTTTTTTTTAATGCCGGGAAAGCATCTGGTTCTAGGAGTGGGATATGTATAAAAACATGTCTGATTCCATCCAGCAAACTCTTTTATGTTTTCCGGCAGTGAAACAGTTGTTGTTGTCGTCGTCTGAGTAGTAGTTTGGTTCACAAAACTCTGTTCAAAATTATCGAACGCCTGCTGTTTGATGATTGTTGTCCCGAAATTATCGTGGAGGCAATGTCACTTCATTTCTTTCTCTGGGTCCCTAGAAAAAAATGGACCTCTCGTAAAATTTAAGTAAATACATATTTTTTCATATAGTAATAAATATGAAAACGAATCATTTTAAATTTCTACGTAACATGTATCATACATGAAATTCATATGAATATGATCAAATTTTACCAAAAATAATAATTTCTGAAATTTTGTTATATAAATATTTTAAATTATATTTACCTTTTCCATCCATCGTATAAATATATAAATTTTCATATAACTTATATATAATATTTTTTATATAAATACATAAATTTTCAAACTATTATTATATTTTTTACCGATAAATCGAATGACAATTAAAATATTTATCAGTTTAAAAATCCATTAAAATTCAACATATTTTAACATTATTACCATTAGAGAAAATAACATTATTACTATTAAGGACCGTAGATCTCCAAATCAATTTTGAATTTTATGGGTTTTTATTTTATTTTTTAAAAATGACATGTCAAATGATGTGATAATTTGTGTAAAAAATTATAAGATGTGGCGGTAAACATCATCAAATGATTTTGCAAATTCGTATAGATATTTGACGAAATTTAAAATTTTGTGTGAATATTTATTAAATTAAAAATTTATGTACGAAAATATCACATTTTAATAAATTCGTATATTATCGTTATAATTGAATTTTAAAATTTTATGTTTTGATGTGGAAGTTCTGCATATTTAATACATTTATATGGAAAAAATTATATAATTATTTTATTTTTTATAAATTCATATATTTTTTCTATATATTATCTTTATTTTAGTTTTTATTTTATTTTAGCATATTTATTATATTTAGTGTCTTATTTTTGTAGTCAACTCGTTTATATGATTAAATTTAATAAAAATAAATCAATTATATAAAATCTAAAAAAAATACAAAACTTTTAATTTAATTCAAATTTTTATCATATTTTCAACTTATTTTCAATTCAATCCATAATAATTAATTGAATCTAATCGAGCTAGTTAAAATTAAATAAGAATTATCAAAATATTTTCTACTTAATTCACGATTAACTAATTTCGACTAGGATTAAACGAACAATTCAGGTCGATTTATTTAAGTATGATTAATTTAGATTTTTTTAAGTATTATTTAGAAATTTAAATGCAATAGGGTTATTTATTTGGTAAATTGAATATCCTTGTATATATTTTGAAAACATTGCCATTGTGTTTTCCTTCTTTCTAAGACATAAATAAATACGATCCAACGGTTGGTATGCGTCGACAAGGAAACTGAGAGAAGCATCTCGCGCCACGTGTGCGGGAATGTCAGGGCATCTCCGAATTTTTATATAAAAAAAATCCGACGTTGTAGATTCGACCACTTCTCTCACTTATAAATATACGAACCCTGCAGCGTGGTACTCCTTAATTTGAAGGAATTCTGGGTCCTGTGAAAGCCCTATTTCGAAAGAGGAGAGAGAGAGAGGTATCCGGATTTTCCTGGATTTTCTCTCGCATTCCCGGAAAATTACTCCGCTTCTCGTTTTCTGCTTCGAAAATCGACTTGGTGGTGACGTCCGATGAGCCGTTTAGGGTACAAATCCGTGGTTTATCATGGAGAGGTGCATTTGGGGGAACTCGATGTCATTCGAGTATCGGACCAGAATTTCCGGTTTCCGAACGATGAGATTCGGATCCACCGAATCTCTCCGGCCGGCGAGAGGTGTCCTCCACTCGCGATTCTCCAAACTATTTCTTCTTTTTCCGTTCGGTGCAAGCTCGAGTCGTTTTCTCCTGTCAAATCGACTGAGTTGATGCATCTTCACGCAATGTGTTTCCATGAATTGAAGGTAATGAGTATATTCGTTAGCTGATTGTGCTGTTTCCAGTGGTAGTAGATGTAAAAGACTGTGATGTGACTTTTGATTTTTGGGCTGCAGACTGCTATGGTCTTAATCGGAGATGAGGAGATTCACTTGGTGGCAATGCCAAGCAAAGAAAAGAAGTTTCCATGTTTTTGGTGTTTCGCAGTACCTGTTGGTCTTTATGATTCCTGTTTAGGGATGCTAAACATGCGTTGCCTTTCAATTGTGTTTGATCTTGATGAGACCCTGATTGTTGCAAACACCATGAAGTCCTTTGAGGATCGAATTGAGGCTCTTAGAGTCTGGATTACACGAGAGACTGATCCTATGAGGATAAATGGAATGTCAGCCGAACTTAAGAGGTATATGGATGACAGGATACTGCTGAAGCAGTACATTGAGAACGATTATGTGTTTGATAACGGGACCATGTTAAAGGCGCAACCTGAGGAGGTTTCCCCAATTTCCGATGCCCTTGAGAAAGTTGTTCGACCTGTTGTCAGATTGCCGGAAAAGAATGTTGTGCTTACTCGGATTAATCCTGAGGTTAGAAGATGTAACTGTTTCTAGTTTGTCCATGTATTCATTTGATTAAATCTGCTTGTGTGATTTATTAGTTTTTTTGTCTTTTGGACTTGGGAATGAGTCGATGTTGTTGTTGTTGTTGTTGTATCTCTTCTAAGTCCATTGGTGGCTTAGCTTTTGTTATTTTATTGTCAGAATTCGCTGAACTCTGTTCCCTTTTACTGGATTATGGTTGATGCAGATCCGTGACACCAGTGTGCTTGTAAGATTGAGACCGGCTTGGGAAGATTTAAGAAGCTATTTGACAGCAAAGGGCCGAAAGCGCTTTGAAGTCTATGTCTGTACCATGGCTGAAAGGGATTATGCTCTTGAGATGTGGAGACTACTTGATCCAGAAGCACACCTGATTAGTTCCAAGCAGCTTCGAGATCGGGTTGTATGCGTGAAATCAGGTCAAAACCATCTCTAGATTCCTTTTCAGAATCTTTCATCTTGGTTCATTCACTTAAAGGTGACACCGTTTATAGTTTAGCTATTCAGGATCTAGATTGACGGTCTCTCTCATTTATGTCTTTGGCGTGCCAACTTATGCATTTATGGCTCCTCTCTCTCTCTGCCTAGTTGGCTGTCCTCTCAATCTTCTGTTTTTGGGGTCCTTCTTCATGTTTTGTTTTATTATTTACGTAGTCACCTTCTCTGTATTATGAAACTTAGAATAATAGTGCCTTGGTTTATTTCTCGCAATTTTGCTTAACAGGGTCAAAGAAGTCATTGTTGAATGTTTTCCATGGTGGCATCTGCCACCCGAAAATGGCAATGGTCATTGATGATCGTTTAAAAGTTTGGGAAGACAAGGATCAACCACGGGTTCATGTTGTTCCTGCGTTTCTGCCATATTATGCTCCCCAGGCAGAGGCATGCTGTTACTCTTGTATAAGTTGTGACTTGCAAATTGGATCTCTCAGTTTCTTGTCTAATTGAACTTGTATCTGACATTTCTTCTTCACTTCTATATCAGACAGCCCATCCGGTTCCAGTTCTGTGTGTGGCGAGGAATGTTGCATGCAATGTCAGGGGTTACTTTTTCAAGTAAGATTTTTAGTTTCATTTTCTTTTACAATTATCTCGCGATTGTAGTTCTTACTCTAGCTGGATGCATTTGACAGGGACTTTGATGAGACTTTAATGAGCAGTATATCTTTGGTTTACTATGAGGATGAGGTGGGGAACTTACCTCCAGCTCCGGATGTGAGCAACTATCTTGTTACAGAGGTATTCCATTTCAAAGTTCTGCAGTATCAGTGTTTCAGGTAGACCTTTTTGGTCTCATCCATAGTGTCATGCTGTTTTTACTCTTGGTAGGACGCTGGCTGTGCCTCAAATAGCAACACATCTGCTCCTCCCCTTATGGAAGGAATTTCTGGTGGCGAAGTTGAACGTAGACTAAGCCAAGTGGTCAGTAAAATAGCCCTCTGTTATCTTACAGAAGAAAAATATTGCATGGGCATGGTTTTCATGCTCTATATTTCCCCATAGTTTTTGTCTTCATTAATTGGATTTGTTAATGTTTCGATATCTCAGGATGAGAAGGCTGTTGCTGATGCTTCTACTATTTCCTCAACCAGTAGTTCTGACCAGAAACCTGAAGCCAATAATCCACAGGCAACAGTCATTCCGAACGTCACAGGCATGACAACTGTTGCAGGGCTGATACCGTCTCATAGTACGAACTTTGACTAATATAATTCTGAAATCTGAATTTGATACTGATATTTTGCATGCAAATTTTTGTTTATTTTCTCTTTGGACTTTATCACATTGTAGAACCTAGCTTGCTTGGAGCTCCAAGACGGGATAGTTTTGCTTCTTTTCCTGATGGTGGGAGACCCCTTATGATGAGGCCTGGTGTAGATATACGGAACCAAAACTTCAGTCAGCCACCACTGTTGGCTAGATATTCTATGCAACCTCCATCATCCTCAATGCATTCACAGGGCGGTTGGTTGGTTGACGACGAGAGCAACAAATCACTCTTTACATGGTATGAGACAAAACGAATCTCTCTGTATATAAGAGGCAGTACCTTAGATATTATATCACATGGGTTATATTATACATCTCTGTGTGCAGGATATTAGACGAAGCTTCAATGGAAATCTCCGGCCTTTGGTGACGAAAGTGCCAGCTTCGTCTATGTATAGTGTGAGGACATCAACGTCAGGTAGAAGCCGGACAACGAGTGTGTCGGACTCGCCCCTCGCCACCACGAGTAGCCCTACGAGCTCGGAACCAAGCGTGAACAACATCAACATCTTGTGCTTAGATGGGAGCGAAGCTGAAAACGACGATCTCTTGAGTGAGAGAGGAAACTCTTCTCCACTGAGTCAACTCGGAAAGATATCGTCGCTGTTGTTGGTCCATTCTCGCGTGCATCCCAGTCGAGAAGTGAAGAGGTCAGTCTACACCCTTGAGTTTACATTTATAAAGTCGTGGAAAGCATGATGTTTAGTATCTTAATTCCAATCTCCAGCAGTCTTGCACCGATGATGATCAGAAAAGGCAGAATCCATCACATCAGATGGCAGGTATGTTTCAGTTTACATTTATAAAGTTCTGGGGTTTTATTGGGTATTAGGCTTTTTGTTATTTTTATGTTTTATGAGTTTTTATTAGTTAATTGAGATTTGGGTTTGTTTTCATTGTTTGGATTGGGGAGGCATAGAAATAATGAGCTAAGGTCCTCTGACTGGTCGAGCCCGAGGAGCTACCAATAGGGGTCGGTCGGTCGTACTTTCCCTATAAAAGGGTGATTATTGCTTACTTAAATTATCAGAGAACAAAATTTGAACATCGCTTGGTGATCCCGAACTCCTAAAGTGCGGGAAAATTTTTGGATAAAATTTTAAGATCTATCAAATTGGTACCAAAGTCTAATCATGGGAAGAGACAACTTTCAATGGGGCGGACTCAAAAAATTGGTTGTTCCACAAAGGAGAAGGCGATAGAGACGACAACAGCGAGATCAACCGAAGAACCAAGTGAGAGACTGAGATATGAGGGTTTGGATGTGGTCGCAACTGTGCATGACATCCTAGGTTCTTTTATGGCAAATTTGGACAGATTTCTTCTCGCTCAAGAAATTGCTGACAAATCTATTGAATTGGGGAAAGCTGTAGATGTAACACATCCGGATCAGGCTGGTGAACTCAGAAAATCAGTGCAACTCCAAGAGCAAGAGTCTTATGCGAAAGTCGAAAACCCCCTTGGGGGTGACTACTTTGCGGGATCTGAGGAACACAAGTTGTCTAAGGCCACAAAAAAGCTTGAGGTGGAGGAGACATCAGACAAGTTCGAGGGCCAACAAAGCCAAGAACTCAACGAGGTCAAGGCAAAAAACACAGATAAAGCCGATAATCTTGAACCGGTCAAGGCATTGACAAGGGTTGGGTCAAAGCTCACACCGCCCGAGGACGTGGGAAACTCAACTCAAATCGAGGAACTTGTAGGTTTAGAGGCGAGCAACGCTCGGGCAGAGACTTTCGTACCCCTCTTGGCAAGGGAAGAAACTGTTGACAACAAGTGTCCGCGTGAAGAAGTTTGGACCAGAGATTGGATGATGGATCGAAGACACATAGACGTGCAGCCCGAGAAAAACAAAATCGACATACATGTTGCGAGGGAGCTATCTTACGGGCAAACAAAGGAGCACATGTTTGAGAGGAACAACACACATTCGGAGGGCATAATGGATGATCACCGTAACTCAGTGACAATCGAGTTGCACAAATGTTCTAAAGGAACAAGGAAATCTGACCCACCATCGGAACTTGGACTCACTGAGAAGCTAGTGACTGAGAGAAGTCTGTTGAGCGGGCCAACCTTCGGTGTCGATCCAGTAGGATTCCGTCTGTGTTAAGGGAAACCACTAAAGGTTGTGATGTGATCGTTGAGATAGTGCCCGAGCAACAAGGAGGTAATGAGATTGCGGAGAATCAGGGCAAGTCCGAGCAACTTGGACTATCTGAGAGAACTATGTTGTCTGAGCAATCGACGACAAAAATTCGTTCGACTTGAGGGATCTAGAGAAGCCAAAAGACAACTCACATCCGAGGAAATTCATTATCGCGCCAATCTACCATTTCAATCGACGACCAACACAAGCATTTCAAAAAAAGCATGATGATAGGATGTATCGGGATATCATATGCGGGTTACCAACGGTTGGAAAATATAGTTTTGAAATCCGGGGTTTGGTGAAAAAACCGACGATTATCGGGAAAGAACAAGGGAAGGTTATGCCTTACTACTTGCGAAAAGGCTACTGCAACAAAGCAGAGCTAGCAGGGGGAAAGAAAGTGGCCAAGAAACCTGTGACAAATGGTGAGTGTTCCTTAGGGACTAAGAAATCTGAGGGGGAAAGGAAACCTGAGAGGGTCCAAATGATAGTCAGCACTGGGAGGGTGACAGTTTGTGGTCTACCAACAACCAAACATAACTTGATTAAGGATGGATATTTGAAAAAGAAGGTCGAGGCAAGACAAGAACACGACAATGCACCATTCCTTGTGAATCCAAGACAACTAAAGGAGAGCATGCTAATGGACTCAACTCGCTCTCAAGTATCAAAATCTTGTCTTGCGGAGCGTGCGGTAGATATAACGCAGATAAACCCAATGACAGTAGGAGAAGTCAAAACCAAGACACAATTGGAAAACTTGGCAGTGAATTCCACAGAATCGAAGGCTCGAGTCCGATGGTTAGATCCTATCACGACAAGGAAGGTTGATGGTCGACAAACTTTAGGGAATGAGAAGGAAGAAGGGGAGGAGACGCTAGAAGAGAAGTTAAACGAGTTATTAGATGAACATGGGGGTATCAGTGAACACAAAGATTCAACAACTGAGTATACCACATTATTACGTCTCATTGCAATTCCTAAAGACGGTAGCAAGAGAATTCAGAGTAATAAGGACTTATCGATGATCCTTGATGCATTGTTGAAAATGAAGTCTCGTTCGATACTGCAATCGGTAATAAAAGGGAAAGGAATATACATAATGCAAGACATCATTAAACGATATAGGAGAAATTTTACAAAAACCCCAATACTCATTGGCGGCAAGGAAAATCCTTACAAGGGATCATCTTCTTAGAAGGTCCTATTGTTTTGGGGAAGAAAGCTTCAAGGACTCACTGCTGATGCTAATAGACCATGAAGATAGACAAGTGCATAGGGGTGCTCGGAAATTTATCAAACAGTGGACTTCGAATCCATTTAGAAGGTCCTATTATGCGAGGGACGAAAATCGAGCGAAGTTGATGTGAGAGCTAAGTAGCAAACCTTTAGACGTGTGTCCAACATTGAAATCTATGATAGTGGAACCAGAGGAGTATCCATACGACCCGAGTGTTGACATTCACGTAAAAGCGGATGGTCAATTCTACCAAAGGTCGAAAAAGTGGTAGGGAGCGTGAATCATCAATAGAAGGGTGAAAGAATGCACGAAGGAATCAGAAACGAGCTAGGAAGTCGTTAACAACGATAAGCTATATGGACATGGGGATAACTGTCACGCCATCAAACACCGGAGAAGATGTAGCGTCATCGCCAAGTGGCAAGACTAGAAAACCAAGATGATCAAGGGTTGAGACTTTAGGTAGTACTAGCAATCATTCTTCACCTTAGGACAAGTTTGATAGATTCTTGGGGTTTTCATGGTTATTAGGCTTGTTATTTTATGATTTATGGGTTTTATTAGTTAATTTGGGTTTAATTTTGTTTAATCGTTTGGGATTGGAGACTTTGAAACAATGGACTGAAGTCCTAGATTTTCACCTAGGTCTGGTCGAGCTCGAAGAGTTGCCAGTAGGGGGTGGTCGACTGTACTTTCTCTATAAAAGGGGGTTTTGATTGCTTAATAAGATTATTAAATAAATTGATAAAAGAAGTGGAGGAAGAACAAATCTCGAACATCGTCGTTAGGAATCCCTAGACTCCATAAGTTTGGATAGATCTCTAAGTCCTATCATGTCCTTTATAGATACGCATATAATCGTATAGGAGTTGGTTTGCCTTTAGGTGTATTACCATACCGCTGAAGCTTGTTTTAGCATGTCTTTGGTTGAATATTTCGCAAGTAGCATCTTTGGAAGAATCAGTTTGCATTTTTTCGAACCATTTGCAGAGGCTGCGATGTCTCAAAATCATTTGAATCACACAACTTCAAATGGTAATGAACATCAGACAGAAGGTGTAAAATCAAATGGTGTACCATCCCATTTATTTATGAGTGCCCTGCAGGAGATTGGAAGAAGATGTGGTTCAAAGGTACAGATCGCGCAACCATGTAATATAATTTCTTATGTTTTGTCTGAATTTTGAGGAATTCTGTTTAACTATGCAGGTTGAGTTTAGGACTGTCATGAGTACCAGCAAGGAGTTGCAGTTTTCAGTTGAGGTTAGCCAGAAATTTTGTGTTTTTCCCATTGTATTTACTCCATGTTGTGAATTTCTTATGCTTTGCTTCTCTTGGAAGAGGAAGCGGCGATATTTTTGTGATTGGGTTTATGCCTGATGTGCTGAGAATATGGGTGATGGTTTCGTATGATGACAAAAGATGTTCTCAGTTGTTTTGGGATTTGTGAGAAACCACCATTTCTGTTCCTTTGACAACAGGTTTTGTTCGCTGGTGAGAAGATAGGAATTGGAATGGGAAAGACAAAGAAAGATGCTCATCAACAAGCAGCTGAGAATGCTCTTCGGAGCTTGGCAGGTGAAAATATTTCTGCCGTTGGCTTATCATTTCTCTTTTCAAAATTTTGTTGCAGCTGAGTCGACAACTTATTGAAACGAATCTAAGTAATGATGTCAAAGAGTCTGGATTTTAGTTTTTCTTTTTCACTTTAAAGAGATTGTGTGAAAAAGACACTCTTGTTGAAGTTGATACCACCCTTAATTTGGTTATAACGTATGCAGAAAAGTATGTTGCGTATGTTGCACCTCTTTCTGGAGTGGCGGAGAGAGATCCAAGAAATGAAAATGGATTTCTGTGGGATAGCAGCACTGACACTACTGTTGTACCAAATGAGGAAGCTCCGAGAGAAAACTTTCCTGAGGTTTGAATTCGTTGGAAGTGCCCTCTCGGTAGCTCATTTCTGTTTCAAAAAAACACAGGCGCTGTTTGGAGGAAAATGGTAATTTTTTGTGGGCCAGAAACAAACACTGATTCCTGATGTGGTACGGTACGTACCGAGAAACCTTATGCACATGAGTGAGGAATGAGGTTTGGAGGGAGCTTCACGTCGTGTGCTTCTTCTGCCGCACACATTCTTTGTCCTGAAAAGGTAAAAGGTAGAAAGAGTTAGTGTCTACTACCCCCACTGTCCTTAGTGGTATTATTCCCCATGTTAAGGCGTTTGATATGATTGCGAGGATCGAGCACGCATGGTATTTGGGTTCATATGGCTTATAGGTTTTATGGAATGCCTCTCCATGTAAATTTTAATGTAAGGTGGAAGGTGTGAGAGGTTTAGTATGAAACTGGCGTGGGCTTTTTGAGGTCTTTCGTGGATTGTTTTCCCCAAAAATTAATTTGCGAGAGAACGGATTCTGTGGATATGTTTTTTTTTTTATTTTATATATTAATGCTTCTTTCTTTCTTTTTTTGAAGTATATGGTATTATTATTTTGCACAACTCTTCTCTGACAGGGTTCTCTATTTTTCGCTGAAGAAAAAGAATAACCAAAGGGAAAGGAGTCTTGAACAAGAGGGGGGAAAAAGAAAGAAAAAGGAACATGACAAGGCAGGCCTTTTGTTCCGAGATACAACAGATATGGGGGGATGTTATAATAATCCTAACACGACCTCTGTTGTCGTCAAAAGAGGTTAGGCCACATCTCTATCCCCTGAAACTATACTGCTATTTCTTTCCTTGAACGAAATCGTGGCGGCGGGTATCTCTGGACCGAATTAACTAATAATAAAAAAAAGGAACGATTTGTGTGATGTTTGATGAAGAAATCAGTAGGATCCTAATCGGACGGACGGCTTCAAGTTCAGGGTAAAAAGATCTGCCTTTGATTGTCGTGTTCTAACGAGCTTCCTATTTGTAAAGTATATATGATTTGCCTCACTTTTGTTTTTCGTTATACATAGTTCCAATTAGGGTTTAGAAGTTCATATCTTGAAAGAGGAAAATATCGAAAGATAGAAACTTGGTTTCCTCAGAACATAGTTGCCCGCAATTGAGAAATCGCATCATTTAATTACATAGCTCATTTTCTGCTTAAATTCTTGAAAATGCGCTCTTGAAATTACGTTGGGACCACTAAAGATGTCACACCGAGATACCCACTTAATGTCGGTGCGATTCATTAGAACCAAGGATTATGCATCTCACGCCCACGCGCACATATAGCGCGTGAACACCACCGCCTCAAAATCCCTGGACTATAGTCCGGCAATTTGGGTGTTTTTCCGTTTTTTGGGGTTAAGAGGCGCGTGAGGACAGCGCTTCCTTTGTTTATTATTTCGTTTTTATTTTTTATTATGATCTTTACCTTTTCCCTTTTTGTTTTGAACTTATTTTTAAAATATACTATTGGAAAGTACACATTCCGATGAAAAAGATTATACTAATACTAACTACAGCATAATCAATATATATGGATTAACATAACATCCTAATTATTCCTTATTAGTTTTCTCAGAGAGAAAAAAATATTCGTTAAGGTTTTATATATAATCATGAATAACAGTCACTTATTTCACTCTTTGGATCAACAATGTTTGGCAGTAATTTCAACCTGTTTTCGAATTTAAATATTCACGTAATTCAGTATTCGTATAAAAAAAATCACGACGAACAAGTCAGCTGAACTTATATGGTGCTATTTTTTCCCTAAAAATCAGTAAACCCTGTATTCTTCACCTCCAACAAAATTTGTACAAACATTGCAAGCGAGCTCTCTTTCGTTGTAGTTTGTTAAAGATCGTTATGGTGCAAATTTCCAAATTCGTGCGCACTCTTTCGTTTTTATTATAGCAAAAATACACGTATCTTACTGTGATTCACACACACACACACACACAGAGCAGCAGTGCGTGTTAAAACAAAATAATTAAAATACAATTAGGCACGGGAATCAGGTTAGACGTCACAAACAAATGAATGTGACTGTGACTGTCCTTGACTAAACTTTTAATATTTTTCTCGAAGCTAACGAAAATTATAAAATTTACCAATGGAAGTCTCCCCCTGACGTACGGCGTTGGCTTAATAATAAATGTATATGCTTTCATCAAAAAAATAAATAAATGTATATATATGCTTATTTGACTAAAAAAAGGGACCTAAATTTAAATACTTGGCCTAAAACAGAAAACTTGGAATCGCCATTTATTGACAAAAAACAAACAACAAAATCACGGAGAGCTTTGAAGATCCGCTGATGCTTGGGGTTCCCCAAAATATATCTCTACCTACCTTATTATAATATAATATTATACACAACAAACACAATACGCCTAAAAAACTGGACTCATCTAAGAGCCACTAGTACCCCACACAATAGTAAAAAATGAGCACAAGATGGAGGATAACAGCGTACCCGGCCAAGACAGTGCGGACTTCCCTTGTCCCGTGGTAAAAGTGGTGGTTAGAGAAGTCGGAAACTGTTAAGAAGCTTTTGCAGAGTTCGGCGTCCCCACAGGATGTCCTTCTCCATCACATCATGCCTCATCTCTTCCTCCTCCTCCTCCTTTGCCTCTCTATGACTCTTGATTTCTACTACCCCTCCTTTCCCTTCTTCCTCTCTTTCTTCCCCTTTGGTCTGTCGTCTCGTCTCTATAATCTGCCAATTACTATCCTTTCGTCAAACATACAACAGTAATAATAATAATAATATAGGTATTGCTAAGCAAGAATCATCGTAATCAACACCTGAACCACTCTTGTTTTGAAAATTAAAAAAAAAAAAAAGCCACAAGAGGTCTAGGAAACATCAAAAAGTATTTATCTCCTCTATAAGATGATTTCAAATGAGCCTAGCAGCGGAATTTACCTAAACACAAGTTTTGCAGAACTTCATGAAAATGAAACAGCAAAGCTTATCAAGTTATTATTACCTCCGTTGAAATGTCTGTTTCAACTTTGTTAACGACAACCTCTCCCCCTGATGCATCATTAGCCTCCTCGTCTCCCCCACTGGTCACATCTTCCTCCTTTTCAAATGACGGCACAGGTGTCAAGCCTGGAACCAAAACTGGACATTCCTCCTCCGTAACCATGACTACTTCTGTTTCACTTTCATCAGCAATCATCATCGATTCGTTAGCATCATCCATTTTCCTCTCATTTTGGGCATCCGAAGAACTGAATCCTGCGTCAGAATCATCCTTTATGTATCCTATATTCTCTGCAACTATTTCCGCAGGATTTTCTTCTATGCCATTACCAAGCACTTCAGCTTCCTTTTCTTCTATAATATTATCCGTAGTAAGCTCTACCTTTTCTTTTGACTGTGCAGACGGCACATTTTCAGCAACTACAGGCATGTCCAAGTTGCCAGCTGATGACTCCTGCCCTTCCCGGTTAACCGGTACCAGTTCTTCCTCAAATATGCTTTGGAGATCGGCATTTTCCCAGTCTTCACAGATCGTAATTGTATTGCTAGTTTCCAAAGTTTCAAAAACCCGATTTTGACCAGGTTGCCACAAGATTATTCCAGTCTTTCCTTTTAGTATGAACTTGAATTCGATCGATTTTCCAACAGGCAGATCCTACATACAAAGAGAACACAAAGCGATCAATCAGAAATTCCCTCCACAAAAAGCTAAGGCTTAAATATAATTCAGAAGACACGTGAAGAAGCACATACATGCATAGCTTTCATAGGCACATCATTGCACACAGAATCCTCTATAAGCACGCCACATGCATCCAGCATTCAGATTTAAGTATATTATCCACTCAGGTCATATGCATATATATTCTTGGCGCAGGGCATGCTGATAGATGACAAGGGCAAGAGATTGCAAAGCCCACGTTACCACGTACCAGATCAACAGTCCAAACATGTCCATCAGACCAATTCAGGGGTATAGCATTTTCAGGGTCCCAAAGGCCAAACACGGGATCATCACCCAAGATAAAGAAGTGTTCTCCAAACGCACACTCTTTAGGTTTGTTCATCCACCAAGTTTTTTGTTCTTCAACCTCATCCAAAATGGATAGAAATTGTATTGGATTTCACTGCATAATGTTTATATTGGTGTTTCTGCATTCAAGGTGGAATCTTTACTGCTTTCCATGGAAATGTACAATGATCAAATTGTGAAAATTGTTTCAGGGGAACCCTATAGATTGGGTGAGCACACATAGGTACCATCATCAGTTCTGTGATTCAGAGAGAGACCCTCATAGCCCCATTGAAGGCTTTTGGTTCAGCCACATGAGTTGGTTGTTTGACACAGATTCAGTAGCTGAAAGGGTACGCCTTTTCTCGCCATTTCGACCCCTCTACTTCAGATTTTTTTTGGTTCTTGGATCTTAATATGGATTTGTATGATCTGATCATAACCGAAATCGTTTTACTTGTCAATGGGTTCAAGTGTGGAGGGCCTAGTAATGTGGGTGACCTGGAGAAGCAGCCCTTCTATCAGTTTCTTCGAAGCACTTACATTTTGCACCCCGTCTTTCTGGCCTCGATCTTATATTCGTTGGGCGGATTTCCTTTCGTGGTGTGGGGAATGGTATGTTCTGTATTTTGTACTGTGCTATCTATATGCTTGTCTTTTATAACTATAACTAAGACTTTGCTTTCATGCAGTGGCAATTTGCTCGGTCACATCTCGATTTAATCCGTTAGGCTATTTTTTCCGCCTCGAGTGTTTGATATTGATGGTCCCCCGGTCTGTGATCTCATCTACACAACTTGGGTTTTGTCATTTTGTACATGTGACTTAGAGTATGAACCATAAAAAAGAATTCACGAAAATTGTGTTTGTGATAAAATATTTATAAAATGATGAAGTCTGGACACCAGAAATTTTTGCAGATATCAATCAATGGAGTTTCTTCCAAAGGATCACAGGCACCTCCAATCGTTAGTGTCGACAATGGACAGAGAGTTCGACCATCCAATTGGAAGTTACGAAGACAACAGAAAGAACTTACATTGTTCCTGCGTTTGAGTTTCAACAGCACTTATATCTACCTACAACATGGACATCGAAGGAAATGAAACGCTATGTGTTATTAAGGAGATATGTGGGATATGGTGTATGTATAACAGGCACGTACGTGTACATGTACAATAGACGTGAAAGAACTCTCTGAAATGAGGAACATCAATGAAGCTTAGATCGTTTAGGGCTAAGGTTCAAGACTTGCGATGTCGGGATGAAATCGATCAGAAATTACAATAATAGAGCAAAAGTAAAAGAAATCGCCATGAAAACCTAGACAGGAATAAAATTTTGATCTCCGTTGAAGTAGAGAATATAATCGCAAGGAAACACACGAACGGAAGAACATAGAGAATCCACAGAGAATACCAGAAGAGAAAACGTCGTCCGAAGACCAAAGAAAATACAGAAGAAAAGCGATACCTGCGAGACCTTGGAGGAAAAGGACGAATGAAGCGGCTTCAGAATCCTGGTCTGAGCAGAATGAAACCGCATGAAATTGACGTTAGACGTTTTCCTGGGAGCCAAACAGAAAATTTCCGTTCCACAACGGGAAAGGCCCCTAGGACAATCTTCGAAAATGATCTTCGTCGGAGAAGATGATGTTAGGGCTCCAATCATCTTCTAAAACACTATAGAGAGAGAGAGAGGGCGGGCACGAGAGAGAGAGGGGACTTGCATTTATTTTCTTGAGCAGGAAACGGGGTCAAGTTCGTCATCGGGGTCCTCTAGAGTGACAAGTCGGTCGTCACAGCATTAACTTAAACCGTTGGATCCCCGAAGTTAGCACATGTGATTGTAACTAAATCATCGGATCAGGTGTGTCTCTAGCTCCGCTCCTACCGTATGGTGATAATAATTCATATTATTAAAATACCTTTTTCTTTTCTTTCTCCTCGATTTGAGCCTGAGAAAATTAGGAATAAAAAAATAAAAAATTAGTAAAATCCACCATGTACAATAATTCAAAATTTTCACGATGACACGAGAGCATCGGATGGCTTATTGGTTCCGATTCTTCGATTATTTTAATTTTAGAAAAAATATAATTTCTTATACAGAACCGATTAGATTTTAAATTTTTATTTAAAATATTTCTTGTTTAAAGAATTCGGTGTTTTCAATTAATTTTTGGTTCGTTTGAATTTAGATTTTATTTTTTCAGATTTAAGAAAATATTTATCTTTTATGTTTTTTATATTTGGATCGATTATTTGTTCAAATGGGTGTAATTGTTCAGTTATTAACAAAGCATCGAGGTGTGCAAGCCCATGGGCCAGATATATGTCCAATGGGCCCATTTGGCAACATTGACTTGAACCACAAGGCACAAATCATTCATCTGCCCAATGGGCCCTTTTGTGAAAGCCCATGGGCCGTATTTTAAACTTTCTTTTCTTTTTTGAAAAACACTTGGATTCTGTGAAAATGTCATACCTTTCCATGAAAGCAATGCTCTCCTTTTGAGCGGCTTCTTCACCTCCCCGACGAGACTGAGTCGCCAGTCGCCTGCGTAAATTACTAAAAGAATTTTAATAGAACAAAACCAAGGACCCATGAAGTCAAATATTAAATTGAATAGTCAACTATGAAAATCCAACAAACACGGCGAATTTATTATTCATAAAATGAATATTCAACTAGCAAACAAGACAACGACCTACCATAAAACAAAAGAAATCATTTTCCTGTTTGGATTCTAGTCAAGTGAATACCATTTCCGATAATTTCATAAACAAAATCAAGTTCAGCCTTGGAGAAGAACCCGTAACAACCTTCCATGAACAAATTGAAAAAACATTCAGATGTCTCCACACATACGAAAACAAAGTATAAAAAAAAAAAAATTGATTTAAAACTTTTAAAAATAAAAAATTAAAACATGCGTATTCAAAATAAAAAAATTCAGGATCTAGACAGAGTTATTACTACCAATTTCCATAAAATATTCAAAGGTGATTTAAAAAACGCTACCAACCAATGGACAGAAATATCTCCAATAGCAATCCGTAGAAAACCAACGATCAAGTCAAAAACTCATATAATTAAATAAGGAAAAATCACATATTAGTACCAAAATTTATTAATTATTATGATGGTTTTTGGAAATCTTTTAAAAGTTCACGATTCAATTTCATTGTTTTTAAAAAGATTCATGATTTAATATATGAATTAGGAAAATTTAATATATTTACCTGAAAAGTTTTGAAATTTGTATATTTATTAGAGATTTTTTTACAAATTCGTGTATTAGCATGAGATTTCTAGCTAAATAAAAATAGAAAAAAAAAACAAAGGATAAAATCAAGATTTGACAACTAAAGAAAGCATATGAGCGTATGGACTCCATCAACTATAACATAACATCAGCGGATGTCGTGTTCACCGGTCGCTGGCCGCCTTGGGACTTTTCAAACCAAGACGGCCACGAGAACACGGTCAGACGTATGAATAATTATAATCAAAACGAGCAACTCAATACCAGAATTCTTATTCTTTCCTCTATTTTTTTGGTTGTTTTTTTTCAATCAACCATAGTTTCTAGTTTCAAGCATCATGGATCATGACACAGAGAAGAACATCTCGACCATGTTTGACCACCGGCGGCTAAAACGCTCGGAATCATCCCTCTTCATTGCTTTTATTTTCACTGTTATAGCTTTGATCGTCTTTACGATCACTATGGTGTCTAATTTATCGATTCAGTCAAAAGATTTCTCGGAGGTGAAGATAGAAATCAAGAGAGTTGTTCCATACTTACCTCTGAGTTCAGAGAAGGAGAACGGGGACATGTATCCGAGCAAGCAGCAGGCACAAGCGACGCTTCCTTCCCATAACCTGAACATCACAATAAACGAGCGCTTTCAGGTGATTGAGATTTTCAGGAAGAACAACGTGCCAGAGGAATTCGACAGGCGGGTAAATAATTTTATCAGTGATGGGTGCGAGGTCCACTTCATCATGACATGGATATCACCTGCAGAGTTCTTCGGCAGGAGAGAGCTCTTGGCCGTTGAAAGCGTTTTCAAATCTCATCCACGTGGGTGTTTGATGATCCTATCTGCAACCATGGATTCTCCCCAGGGTTTCGAGATCTTGAAACCGGTTCTTGACCAGGGTTACAAAGTTCTTGCGGTCACCCCTGACTTGCCCTTTCTTCTCAAGGACACTGACGGCGAATCATGGCTCAAGGAGATAGAGGCCGGCAAACGTGATCCTGGGAAGGTCTCCTTAGCTCAGAATCTGTCAAATTTACTGAGACTCGCAGCTCTATACAGATATGGAGGTGTTTACCTGGACACAGATATGATCGTCCTGAAAAGCTTTAAAGGGCTTAGGAACGTGATCGGGGCACAGACCCTCGCTCCTTCATCGAGAAACTGGACCAGATTGAACAACGCAGTTCTTATATTCGATAAGAATCATCCTCTCCTACTCAAACTCATAGAAGAATTCGCACTGACCTTCAACGGAAACATATGGGGCCATAATGGACCATACTTGGTATCCCGAGTGGCTCGAGCAGTAGAAGGAACAACGGGATATAACTTCACCGTCCTGCCGCCTCCAGCATTCTATCCGGTTAACTGGATTGAGATAGAGAAGTTCTTCAAGGTGCCAAAGACTGAGAAGGACTCCAAGTGGGTGGAGTCCAAGCTTCTTCAGATGCAAAAGAAAAGCTATGGCCTGCATTTATGGAACAAGTTTAGCAAGAAACTGGAGATGGAAGAAGGTAGCGCCATTAGAGGATTGGTTTCAGACCACTGTATCATTTGTAAGGATGTGAACAGGTGAAGAAAGAAGAGAGTCTGTCTACCCAACAGGGGCTTTCTTTTTCCACCTTCTTCTGTGTATCATAGAATTGTTCGTCTGTTCGTTAATTCCAGTGTAGATAACGCGTCAATAGGAACGAGAACCTCGTTCTGTCCGCGCTCCTGACATGTAAAAATCACAGAATTCAGAAGTTTTTACGACTACAAACACATGAACCCTAGTTTTCTTAACTTGAATCGTCCTCCAAAAATAGCAACCGTAATCCCCCATCATCATCCTTACCCAATTGGCACCATTTAAGTTAACAACAACGAATCATTCTTGCGAGAGGAATCGCATGAAAATTTAGAAAAAAATAAATCACCTGAATATTTCGCGCCGACCATTCTTGCTCAACGACGGAAGCTTCGGCAGCTGGGAGGCGATTTAGCATCACATTCGCGCAAGAGGAATCCGCTTCACCGGAAGAAGATCGTCGATGAAACCATCGTCAACTGCGGCAATTGCATCTGACACACATTCGAAACGTAAATAACCAAACCAGACCAGAACAATAGAAGAAGACAACCTACGAGTGACGAAAGATCCGTTGGGGAAGAAAACAAGAAGCCGAGGTAGGAGAACCGCCATAGCCTAGCCTCTGGCAAAGGAATTCGTTCAAAATTTGGGGCTTCGTGAGAGGGATTGGCCCAAAGTCAAAATAAATATACAACTCTTTACGGATATCTTTTATGGCCCAAAACGGTGTGGATTTATCAAGAATTTAGTTGACGACTATGATTTGGGTTTTAATGGGCCTACAATATTCATTCTAATAATGGGCTTTCTTATTCCCTTCTTTTTGGCAAATGGGCTGTGATGATGTGTTGACATCGGGCACGTGACAAGACGTGAACCAGCTCGCTGATCACGTGACGATTCCTTGGGCAACTGAACATAGGCCCATTTCATGTGTAGTTAAAATGTTAACAAATGGGCCTTTAAGCCCATATAAACGAAGTAAAATTAATTGATCTTAGGCCCATTATTGTCATCGCGTCATCATGACATCAGAAGCCGTCTCGTTATCTTTCACAGCCCAATGGCACTGATGACAACAATCGGCTAAGCTCATATCGGTTCGGCGGAGAAAATCAGCGATCCCCGTCTGCTGCTCATGGAGAACAGATTCTCCGATCCCGGCGAGCGCGTGAAGCTCAACGTCGGTGGCCAGATCTTCGAGACCACTGCATCGACGATCCGATCTCAGTGCTCGGATTCTCTCCTCGCTGCTCTCTTGTCCCGAATCGGCCATGGCTCGAGCCCCGTGTTCATAGACCGTGACCCGGAGATTTTCTCCGTCGTCCTCTCTCTCCTCCGTACGGGAAAGCTTCCCGCCGCCTACGCCACCGCCTTCTCCAAGCAAGAGCTCCTCGACGAAGCCCTTTACTACGGCGTCGAGTCCCGTCTACGGTCGGCGATGTCGCCCCCGACGCTGCTAGGTATCGATGCTTCCCTCGCCGCCACCGTAACGCCGGCCGTTGAAGGAGTCCCGTCCGCTTTCACCGCTGCTGCCAGCGATACCTCTTTGTGGATCGCTCACGGCGGCAATATCTCGGTCTACGACTGGAACCTATCCCACACTGGAACTGTCCGTACGCATCTGGACGATATCACTTCGATCTGCCGCGTCTGGCCCGAGACGGCGGCCGTTGGATCTGGAACAGTCGCGGGGCTTCACTTCTATGACCTCTCGGGAGGCCGATGCGTCGGATCTACGCACTGGACGGATTCGGATGATCCGAGGATATACAAGGCTCACGTTGCGGCCATCGCCCAGACGGACTCAGGGGTGTTTGCTTCCTTCGATTGCCGTCACAGAGAGAACGGCGTGCTCCAGATCGACAAATCCACGCTTGGGGTCTCCACCGTCATCGGCCGGCAAAACGGTAGCTCCGCGAAGTTCTCCGTGCCGGAGAAACTGTGGTGGCTACCAGAGAGAGGTCTTCTTGTCGGATCCGCCGTTCAACGCGGTGCCTTCGGGTGCTCCGGCTACATCCGGATCTGGGACCCGAGGTCCGGGGGCGTGTTCTGGGAGACGAGCGAGCCAGGCACCGGACGAAGCAGCAAGCTCGGAGATTCCTTAGCTGACGTGGACATCGACGTAGACGACTCGCTCATCTTCAAGGTATGTTTCAGGTCAGGAGACCTCGGGATGGCAGACCTTCGTAAATTAGGGGAAGATCCATGGGTATATATGTCAGACGATAATCCCGGCGCGTGGAAAGCTCGCGACGGCGGATACAGCATCGTACATTGTTACAGGAAGCAGGTGTTCGTTGGCAGAGGTGGAGAGTTAGAGGTTTGGTCGAGGATACATGAGAAAAGAGACGCTGATCCAATGCGCAGTGAGAGTTACAGAAGAAACTTCGTGGACAAGGAAGAGGATTCAAAGAGAGGGGTGATAGCCAAAATCGAAGGCGGTGGTGATAGGTTGTTTGTTTCCCGAGAAAATGTGGAGGGGATTGAAGTCTGGGAAAGTTCTAGTTGCTCAGGCGTTGTTTCAGCTGATTAAAGTTTAGTTTTTTTTTAGAATTTGAGTGGGGGACGAGCTGCTTGTTTCCGATGGAACCATGGAGGGAGGTGAGGTGCGTGGAAGCTCTTTCAACTGCTGCTAGTGGTGTTCATGGAGTGTTTGTTTCCCGGGAAAACATACTGGGAATCAGAATGTGGAAAGACGTTAATATCTACCAGACGTACATGGACCTCTTCTTTTACTAGTCTGAAGGCGTACGTGGATTCACTGTCCGGGGAACAAGTTGTTTGTTTGTCAGGAAAGATGTTGAATGATATGTTGGAAAAATGTCTGAAGTGTGAACTAGCTGTTGGGTTCTGGAGAAAATCTCCCCATCTTTTTGGGCAATCCTCTACTGAGATCATGAACCCCTTTTGAAGATTGCTTCATGTTTTAATGTCCTGAACCACCGGTTGGTCTGGTTAAGTTCAACACCGGAAGATATGGGGCTGATTGAGATTGGTGAATGACCGCAACTCAGAAGTCCTTCAGGTGGAAGTGATCTCTGTAAGTCTCCAGTTTTTCTCATTCCGCGAATTTTGGATTGCATTTGTTCTCGTGAATTTGTCGAGATCACAATGGTGGTTCCTAGTTTTACCTCAAAAATGCATGAATCTTTAACAAGTAATGTACTTTCGGGCTTCAAGAAAGCATATCTCGTCTTTACACAATGTCATTTTTCAACGAGTTAACCGACTGCTGACACTTGAGGCCAACTGCTCTTATTTCTCAACCTACTCTCCACCAAAAAAAAAGTTTTTGTGAAATGCCCATTATTTGTTACTCATTATGGCAAGAAAAGGAATCAGCTTTCTGTTTAGACCCGTCATGCTGATGCATATGTATTGCTTCACCACATGCTTTTGCATCTGAAACCATTTTGTTGCTCTCTCGAAACCCTGTTTCGTATCTAAACCATTTCAAACGGTTTCGGCAGATTGCAGTAATGCCATGGATGGCTTCAAGGACCCAACAAAGGTGTAAGCGTAACATTCCCTTTTTGGCTTGCCTGGATCCCTCCGACGATGATTCTGACCGCTCCCACCCGAAAGGTGCAGACGGCTCGTGTCGTGCCAGAGCGTAGGCCCAGTTTAGAGAAAATATCGTATAAATACACACCAATTTTGTTATCAATTTCTTGTAAAGTTTATGGATTTAATTATGAATCTAGCAAAATCTTTGCTATCCTGTATTGAGAATGTGATTTTCTGATTCATATTATTACAGGAATTTGATCTCGATTTCTTTTGTTTTTGGAATCTCATCATGCATACATACGTTGTCTATATGAGCTCTGAACAAACTTACCTTTTTCTTAAGCTTCATAGAGCTACACATTTAAAACATATCTATTTTTTTATCGTGAAACCAGACAATGAGTTTAAAGGGTCAAAAGGATGAACAAAAAGAAACAGGGTGGGGTGGGGATATCCCATGATGTTCCTCTTTGATGTAGTCGGCCCCTCTGAATGTGGAGACCGAGTTCGATCTCGGCACAGAAGAACAAGAGTTCAAGAACTCGATGCAGTCTTCAATGGCTTCAGCACGGTGAGACTCTGATTCAGCCAGAGACCTCGACCTTTTCAGGTAAATTGATGAAGAACACGGCAAAGGGGACGAGGGTACCTTCCTAGAAGAGCAAGACGGCGACGTTTTCGCCCTCCCTTGGGATATAAATCGCAGCGTTTTGGCTACTCTGGCTTCGAGCCGTCTGAGAAACCTTCTCGCCGGCGACCTTCTGAGGCCGAAATTCAGAATTCCGACAACGACCCTTCTTCGGTCTTGTCGTGAAGAGCCGAATCCACCGTGTTTCCGGAAGACTGGTTCGTCGGTGGCTTCTGGGTCGGCACTAAAGCTCACGCCTTTGCATGCTTTTCTTGACATATTGAAGTGTGCAATTGTGTTTGTAAGTGAAGTGGAAACGTGCATATGGTTCTCCTCTCGTGTATGAGAGAGAGAGAGAGAGAGAGAGAGAGAGAGAGAGAGAGAGCACAAATGATACGTGGGAGGTTCCAAAGAGTATTTATGGGAGCGGAGTGCTGAGGAAGAATAAAAGGTGGGGCAAAATTAGAAGAAATGGTAAAATTTAGGGTTCGTAACAATGCCCGTATTATATATATATAATATTATTTGTTTTGAATTGTATTTAATATGAATATTTGTTATACTAAAAACGTATCGATTGGGAATTATCGAGCACAAATACTCAAAATTTATATCACGACCTACAATTCAAAAATTATATACATGATATTCGATATGTATTCTGATTCAATTAAATCCTGAAAAAATCGTTTGAAAATTCAAAAGTACCTTGTCATGTAAATATGATTTTCCAATAAAAAGAATTGTAATAAATTAGTCTAAAAACATATAGTCACATCTGCGTGTGTGTGTATAATATGGAAAAAGAATATGTACGAGTTTGCGAAAGTGTTTTGTCTTGGCGTGTGAAATATTGGGAAGACAGTAGAAACTCAAAATTCCCTTTCTTGCTCTCTCTTTTTTTTCTTACCAACCTTTTTCCCTCACCATTTCTGATCTCATCACTTTTCTCTCTTTAAACGAATCTTCTATTCTCAAATTTTCCTATAAAAATCTAATTTATAGGAAGTTGACTATTTAAATTTAAATTTGTTGTAAAAGAGTAAACAAATCTGTCAAAAAATGTAAAAAAAAACAGAAAAAAAAAGGAATCTGAAACCATATTTGAAATCTTTGTTTTGTTTTTTCAAACCAAATCTTTATACTAAATTTTGTGTATTCAGTATTTGATCATCGGAAGTTTTACAATAACCTTGCATATTCATATCAAAATGGTTATTTAATTTAGAAACTGTGTTGCGTGCATAATATTATGGTTTTTTTCTATCCTTAAATCATGATAATATCTCCTTTTTTTTTTCTCACCAACCCAGGTATTAGTTTAGTCTATATGGTATATACTTATTAAGTGCATGTAGTATTTTGTTTGGGCTATTTCATATAATTTTGGGACAACAAGTTCGGTAATTTTATTTGGGTTGTTAAGTTCGGCCCGTGTTCGAAAATTTGTCTACTAAAACTTCACAAAACATATGGGCTTTCATGAAATGGACCAACAAAACATTTCATAAATAAATCCTGAATTATAATAACATAATATATTTGCATGTTAACTCAAGTGCCTTCATATGCTCCTTTGTCTTTGTCATGCCTTTAATTATATGGATATTTTACAAATAGAAAATAATTAATTCAATATAGATCATTTCAGAAGCAGATCATACATACATGCGGTCCTAGTCAGCATTTGCCAGTTGGCGTTAAGCCTATCAAGAGGATCAATGGACGACACGATAGAGAGAGAAGGGCCTGTGAGAGCTGACGCTGATCCAAAAGAAAACACGGCCCATTAATAAGTGGGCCCATATAATGTTCCCCCATGTGCTTTAAATAGTCCCCACTTCTCCCGTTTCAGGTGACACACCCGACCCAACTATATTTATTTTCTCAAATACTAATATTATTATTATTATTAAAAAAATGGAAATTGTTGTTTGGTTCCGAGAATAATATTATGCTTAGTAGAGTTTTAAATGTTCATGATCGGGGATAGAACACCCAACTTGATTCTTAATCACATGAAATTTTTATACATTGACGTACGGGGAAGTAGATAGACTGGTCGGTTTAATGTAAAGACGACAAAACGTCGTCGTTTAAATCGATATCACGAACCCTCAAATCCCAACCGTCCAAATTAATCACCGTTCATTTAGATATTTGTCTCCCGACCAACGAGAGGAAGAGAACACGATTCCAAGAAAAATAAGAGGAGCCCAAAACGGCATCGTTTCAGCAACCGTTACTGACTTGAGATACGTACTGCATAAACTCGGGATCGTTCTGGATCCCCGCCATGGTTTCCGGCGAGAGAACCACCTCCAGATCCACGCCTCCGTTCCCTTCGCGGCAGGGAAACGCCGAGATCTTCCCGTCGAACTTATTGGCTCCTCCGCTTCGCACCGCCAACGGCCTCCCCCATCCAAAATCGTTGTCGTACATTGGAAACCTCGGCGAGCTCCCCATCGTGATCGAAGCGCCATCGGGGTTCCCGAGCGGGAAAACCCTCGGATTGCTCTCCCACGCTGCGATCCCCCGCCGGACCGTTGCGTCGTCGTGAGCCACCACGTTCTTATGCAGTAGACTCGCCGACCACCGGAGATCGTGATCCAGCAGATCGCCGGCCAACGCCGTCGTTGGTATGCTCTGAATCGCGTTCCCGAAGTAGTACGGATCCATCCTCGGCTCGAGCCTGTGTCTGCAGTTTACGGCCATCCGAAACGTCGTCGTTTTCGCCGGATCGAGCTTCCTGGCGCGGGTCACCGACCTCCATAGCTGCGCGCTCAGAGATTGGAAAGACGAAATCTCATCCGTCCGATCGCTATTTGTCTTATTCGCACCCGCTTTCCACTGACTTATCTTTCCGTTACTCTCTCCGTTACCGTTACATTTCCATCCGTCGTTGCTTTGCTTTCCCAGGATCTCTTCCTTAACGGCCGTTTCCGCCACCAACGGCGTCAACAAACCGTTGCTGCTGCTGTTGTTTGCTCTCTGCTTGAGCTTCGAGATGGCTCCCCTGCTGAAATGGAAAATCCTCTCCCGGAGAGGCTCGTCGGCGGCGAAGGTGACACGCGGACCTCCCGGAGGGAAATGGAGAACGGCGGGAGAGTCGAAGACGGTGTCGCGGGAGAATTCCGGCAAGTGCTTGATCTTGCAGGTGCCGCTTGTGAGGTCGGCGAATGTGTTGAAGAAGTGCCAGAAGGAGGTCCCGTCGGTGACGGCGTGATTGACAGTGCAACCGACGAAGACGCCGTCAGCGAGCTCCGTCACCTGGACGGCGGCCAGGGGTTTGCTGTGGCCGTTGTAGCTGACAAGGCGGTCGTAGACGAAGAACTCACGGACGACGATCGGGACGTCGTCGTCAGGGGAGATGACGGCGGAGATGGTGACGTGCGCAGCCGAGGCGGCGACGAACTCGACGCCGGCGTCGTTGCAGGAGATGAAGAGGTGGCCGGAGGGGGCGGTGGAGAGGCGGCCAGCGAGGGGAGGGAAGGCGGAGAGGGCGGCGGAGAGGGAGCGGCGGAGGGAGGAGAGGAGGTCGGTGAAGGAGGAGAAAGGGTGGCGCGTGAGGAGCACGCCCTTCTGGATATAGTGGCAAGAGAGCATGGGGATGTCGGAAACCGACAGGCGGAGGTCGGCCAAGCCGGACTTCTTGTCCGGGTAGACCATGCATTTCGATACCTCTGTTACTGAAGAAGAAGGCATGTTTATTATAATTATAATTTTTCGAATTATATGTATATGTTAATTTGGATATATATCTATTGGTGTTGTGGAGGAGGCCATATCGTGGAGATGGGTTTATATAGGGGGCCGGACCAGTGGTTGGATTCATGAACTTGGCTGGTTGGCTACATCATTACCATTTTGTCATATTGTTTAAATGTTTTTTTTTAATTTTGCATATTTTAAAAATACACCTCTCTCGTTGTGATCTCAATATATATATGTGTATATATATAGATTTTATTTTATTCAATTTTGCTGCTTTCTAAACGAAAGAGAATGCCACTCAGACCTTCCATTAGATTCCTGTATTCAAAATTTGCCTGAATGGTGAATATATGTGATTGAGGGTTTAAAAAAAGATTCTCTATGCTTGCGTTGATTCTTGGTTGAAATTCTTCTTATGTGTTAAATGATACGGTAGTGTTATAGATTTGCAAATGTGGACTACACTATAGTCTAATAGACACAGCTTCACGATTCCTAGTAAATAAAACTATATGTTTTCCTCACAATATTTTCTATTGCATGAATATTGCCCCAAATATATGTTGGATCAGGACTCCATGTTTGTATCTGCTAATAAATGAATTATAAATAGTTTTTTATTTTATTTTCACCCAAAGAATTATGGACGGTAATAAAAGAAGAAAGATATTTTGATGTATAAAGAGAGGTAGGAAAATTCGGACGAGGAGGACGATGGGTGTTCGGTCGGAAGATTACAAGAAGGGACAGATGGCCTGTCCCTAATGACACATTTGGAAAGGTTTGAAGGGACTCTGTGTTTGAGCTCTCTTTCCTTTTCATTGAACAGTTTCAACGCTATGAAATTATATATATATATATATATATATATATATATATACATGTATATATGTATATGCATGTGTGTGCACGCGCTATTTGAACTTCATTACAACATAGGTTAAAACCTATATGAGAAAAATGTAAATATTCAAAATTTGTTAATATTGGAAGGGTTCTACAAGTTCATTTCAATAACTAGGGGTGGCCATTTCGGTTATTAACCGAATAACCGGACCGAACCGAACCGAATAAGACATAACCGTATCCGAACCGAACCCGACATCAAAACCGAACGGTTATGATTTCCTTAAACCCGAAAAACCGAAACCGAAACCGAACCGAACCGAATAAAAAATAACCGAAAAAACCGAGAGAATAACCGACAATTTCTTTGAAAAAGCAAACTTTTTACTGAACCCAAACCAAAAATAACCGAACCGAACCGAACCGAAATTTATATAAAAACCGAATGGTCATAGTTTTTCTATAACCGAAATAACCGAATCCGAATATAACCGAACCGAACCCGAACCGAAACCCGAATTGGCCACCCCTATCAATAACCAAAGCATTTTCACCCCCTTTTTGCTGTCATAATGTGAGAATTTCAAGCTTCAATTATTACACGGTCCTTGCAAACAATGAGATCGTGTCATTATTAATTTCGTCAAACTAAAACATGTCTCAAAATGCATTTGAAGGCCCAATTATTATATCAATTATTATTTGTGTTAGCGAAGAAATGAGATTCAAATATATGACGATGACGATGATGATGAATAATTTAAAAATAGATGGAATAATGTGAGATAATATTTAATATTATATATTCACATTCGTTCTCTCTGTGTCACTGATTATTTGTCTATGGTTGAAATAAGAGAAAAAAATTGTAAGCTTTGGAATAAGGTTCTTATTTAATTAGTGGTTATTAGGAATTGAAAAGATGGCATTATAAAAGCAGCGTGGAATAAAACATTTGACGCAATAGAATGTGTCATGCTTAGTAAAATAAGGAAAATTCCAGAATGGTGTTACTCATTCAAGTCATATTTTTTTAATGAATTGTGAACATTTGTACAAGAATTTTAAATTCGAATCTCCAATATACAGACATTGATAAATATATATATATCACATTTCAAGAGGTTGATTATTATTATTATTATTGTTATTATTGTTGTTGTTGTTATCATCATCATCATTATTATTATTATTATTTATTTTCAGCATTTTAATTTGAAGAAAACACATTCAATCATCATCGATAATTGATAACTGAGTGACTTAGGTTACGATCTGTTTTTTTTATAAGATATAGATTTATCAAGTTTTTTTACCTAACTGCATCTTCTAGAAGAACAAAAAAATTTAGATTACAATCTATTGAATCTCAAATGTTAGTAAACTTTTATTTATTTTTAAGATACTCTTTATTTTGATCAATAATGTCCATGTATTACAAAAATCATGAGCAAAACACACAGAGATGAGAAGGATTTTGTAAGGATGTTCTAATATTTTATGTAACACAATTCATACGTTTAATGAAAATGTTTTAGCAATGATCCGGTCGAAGTATAAACATTCCGACATAAATATTTTCCCCTTTTGAAAATTCAAGGGAAAAATAATTCAGAGGAATTGATGACAAATTTAAAAAGATCGATAATAATTTCCTAATTAAAAAATTTAAAGCAGAATAAATAAATAAATATATAAATACATTTGGATAAAAAGAGGAAATCCCAATATCTTCCACTTTTATGGCGTTTTAGACAAAGCAGCCCCCACCAATTATCCTTTAAGGTGTTGTATTTTTCTGATAAAACCAAGTGGTTAAGATCTAAGGGTAATTAAATTAATACAAATCCACTATTCCAAATGAAATATGCAGTTCTTTAGTACTTTATTTTTTTTCCACGGTAGATTTTATATATATCATTGATCACCGATTTTTTATTTGATTTCTAGAAATTATGTATACAAATTCTAATATTTTTTTACAATGAACAAGAGCATTCAAGTTGCACGAAGATACTAAGCAACATTATATTTAATCAGTCGATATTTTTATTGTTTTGTGGGTTTATATTACCCTCTCTTTAGGAGTATTAGATCTCCAAAATTATAAATATCATATCTTGATATATTATAAAAAGGATCTATTTAGATTTGTTGCAAATTGTTAAGATGCAACAAACACCCTTTTCCAAACAAAAAATTTAAGGGTAAGAAAATATGACAAATTTCTTAATATGGTCAACAATTTAGTACGGGATTTTTTTTTATGGAATGCAACAGGATGAATGTCGTTTATATCCTTTTTTTTTTAAAGAATGGGGTAATCATTGCTTGTTGGAAATTATTTTATTTTATTTTTGTTTATTGTAAAGATAGTGAATGGTAGCCAAAGGGTCAACTATGTTCCTAAGATGAATGTTCAGTGCATCTAGAAAATCTATAAAACTTAGTGGTTGACCATTTTTTTCTCCCTGTTTTTTGGTAGGGCCATTCCCCAATACTATAAAAGTAAATAGAAATTCCAAAATTTTAATGGAAGTTTTAAAATCATTTTCTTTTTGTTATTTAATGAACATATATATATATATATATATATATATATCACGAGTTAAAAATCAATAAATCTCATGCGAATATTTTTTTAAAAGAGGATGGTTAAGTATACATACATGGTCTTTCGGAGTCTCGTGCAATGATTAAAATCCATGATTTTTCAAGGGTTCATGGATTCGATTCTAACTTTCAACGAGTCTGTTATTCTTTAAGTAGTTTATCTGTTCCATGTGATTTGTAAATCATTATGTGAAGGCGAATGATTTATCACCGCGTCCACGAATGATTGTTGTTGATTCCCACCGTTAAAGAAAAAGTATACATGCATGCTTTGTATAACCTTCTAGGGGTGGACACGGGTCGGATACTCGGAAAAATCGAGAGATTTGGATTTGGATTCGGAAGGCTCGGGTATTTTACTATAAGATTTGTATCCGGGATTTGGTTTTTACGAGTATCCGGGGAGTACGGATATCCGGAATAATGGTCGGGTATTCGCGGGTATCCGGATCCGAACTTATTTAAGAAAAACAATAATATCCATATATAAAATTTTCAAAAAATGAAGATATATTTATAAAAATTGATGAATTATGATAAAATATATGAGACAGAATAGATAATAAGAGATAAATAATAATAAATTTAATTTTTTTGAATTAATATTAAAAAAATGATATTATTTAATCTAAAATAATTATACTTTATAAAAATGTTATATAAATATAAGATATAATTATTTATAATCATAATAGTCGGGTATCCGCGGGTATCCGATTTTAAAAATTCTATTATCCGAATTTGGATTCGGATTCACGGATATTGAAAAACTAGGATTTGGATTTGTATTTAAAAATTACGAGTACCTTAAAATCGGGTATTCGTGAGACGGATATCCGACGGATACCTGATTTTCGGATATTTGTGCTCAGCCCTATAACCTCCCACTGATTGGGTTAATTGGCTCAAAACTTAATAATGACTCTGACCTCACTAAGTGCATGTATCTGATTTCTGATCGTAAATTTCATCTTACCTATATGTAAGCATGCATGTGTGTACGTAGGGTGTATATATATATATATATATATGTATGTGTGTTGCAACCCTACGACATGGTTATATGTATTTATGTGTGTGTGTAGCATCGATGCTGACATTTATGGATTTTATAATCAAATACACAACTTATCTGCTGAACCTGTGATAAATCAGTTAACCATAAGTGCGGATTCATATAGAATTGACGTATAATATGACAAAGTTTTCTATAGTGATGCTAAAGGGATAAAATAATTAAGCTCTAAGCATAAAATATATATTGAATTTTAGTACTATACTAATAAATTTATATAATATATGATATATCAGTAGATGATTGACACAGTTATATATTTTATTGGCGATCCTAAGTCTGTTTGGCCTATGCAATCATTGAACTATATATTCAATAATTCGGAGGCGCTATAATACACTGATAGGTGGAATATTAATTTCAATGCTGTAAGCATAAATACGAAATCTTTATTAAAAAAAAAGTGAAAATAAATATGTTATATAATGAAAGGGAAAAAAAATGAAATAGCGTGAAGATCGGTGGGATCACAGAAGTCCACGTCTCGCTTTGGGGGAGAAGTCCTTAGGAATGACGAAATTGCCCCTCATCCCAACATGCGGACCCGGCGTTACAACCTGTACATTTTCGGAATTAAAACATATGTTTTTTTAAACAATAAATACACTTGCTGTTCTGTTCTTCAATATTTTGGTTTTGTGTTA